TTTAACTTAGAAAGAACTATGAAATCCTTATATTTATGGATATATATATATATATATATATATATATATATATATATATATATATATATATATATATAAGAAGTAGTATAATTTTGTAAATATATTATGGTTGAAAAGAGTGGCCAAAATGAGTGTAAATAATAAACCATAAACCAAGATGTGCATGGTTCAACCAATGTCTGCTCTAGTCCGGAGACATATGGTCAGTTTGGTTGCAAGGACAGCTTTACCTGTCCAGCTAGAGCAAACCTCACCTTGCTTGGCTGATCGAGCGCGAGCCTATTGGCTCACCTAGGCCAGCAAGGATTTTTCTTGCCAACAGTGCAGACTCTAAGGTAGTTCGCCCATAAACAAGTGGCTCTCCTATAGATGCTTGCTGGGCAGGGTAAGGTGAGCTTTGCTGGAGAATCCTAACACTCATTTGCCCTGTTTGCTTGGTTGATAAGTCATGACCTGAAAATACTGTTGACTGATTTGTTGTGAGAGAAAAATATTGTTCGTTTCTTTGAAAAAAAGTACGGCTTATAAGCTAAAACGAATAGAGTGATTGTTCCATAGATTTTGAAGGCCGCCATCTTCATAGTCGTAGCAAATCCTAAGCGAAGTACAAATTTGCATTGAATCCAAAGCATTTAGATCCCATACAGCTCTGAAATTATATTTTGTTTTAATACAAGAATGCATCTCAACATCTATAATGTGAAGTTGGTTTCATTAAACTCTTCATGAATTCCGGATAGTGAATTTGTTCGAACTTAACGATGTTAATATATATATTTTTTAAAAGACTCGATCAAAGTTTGAGAGTCTAACTTAGGATTAAGTTAGAATGAACTATAATTTAAAAAGAGGGAGAAGCTCTATAAGGAGTCATTTGGCAAGACTGGATTTATCTGGACAATATTTTTGCAATCTAATAGCCAAATTAGCCTGTCCAGTATCATCAATAGGCCGTCCAACCCATCTTTTTAAACGAGGTGACAGCCAATCCTTCAGTGGTATATCTCCAAATATGTGATCTTTTAATGGTACACAATTTTCTCTATGCTTTATGTGTGCAGCTTCACGGCTCGCGCAAATCTTGATTAGTGGCCGTTTGTCTGGGGCAAACGCGCCTCCCCGTGCAGTGTTTCCCGCGAGGCCCAATTTTTCATTTTTATCTTTCCGGCGTTATGTCCACGTGTTGTCAGCGCAGCTTGCATATTAGCGGATTACAGTTTTTATTTTTATTTTTTGCTATCATTTTATTTTTCTTTTTATTTTTTATAGTAACCTATCATTTTTCTTAAATGTGCTATCAATGTATTTTTTTTTAGATTTAGAAATCTATCCAAAACAAGTTATGTAACAAAATTGTTAAACAACAAAAACTTATACGTATAAGTTATGTTATTCGTAAAATTGGTACATAAAAATTGTGTTAGAAAATTTATGTTGAAAAACTGTTATAATAAAATAATATAGAAAATTTGTCATGAAAAATTATCTATAAAATTACGTAAAAAACTATATCAAAAAATTTAAGATAATAAAATTATGGTAATAAGTTCTATTTGACCGCTGCTTACTACCCACAAGCCGGCTTGCGGATGGGGTTGGCACGAAAATGTGGGTGCAGCGGGTCACCGGCACTCGGGGCACGGCTTGGTTGCTCACTCTCGCAACTCTGTTCCACCGACACCTTTCATTACCAGAAGAAATTTGATTGGACATTGTTTATTCCAAGGTTCATGGCCACACTAAGCCAAGCTGTACTGAGCAAGCAAGACAGTGGACAGCTGAGTCAGCTGCCACATGTGCCGCCCCAACTATATAGTATGATGGTTAGTTATAACGGCCAGGCCAGACAGCTAGCCTCACTCTGTCCTCCAGGGTGAAAAAAGGAGAGTGCAAGTCGCCAAAATTTGTGAACTGTTATGATCAAAATCATGCTGTGCAAGAAATGGAGAGGAGACCACACAAGCCACGACCACACAAGTCTCTCCCAACTTTGGTTTCCCTTTTCATGCAATCTTATATTTGCAGCACCTCCTGCAACGACAATGCAAGAGCATCGTAAGGCAGATCGAGCGGGGAAGATGGCGATGAGCAAGCGCACGGCATCACGCGCTCTCCTTGTCATGACGGCGACGGTAGTGATTCTGCATCGGACTCTCTGCGTTGCTGCCTCGCCGGCGACGCCGCTTGCAGCGCCGCCAGCGACCAAGCAGACGCGGACCCCCGCGCTGTTCCTGTTCGGGGACTCCATCGTGGACACGGGCAACAACAACGGCATCATCACGACAGTGCGCGCCAACTTCCCGCCCTACGGTCAGGACTTCCCCGGCCACAACGCCACCGGCAGGTTCAGCAACGGCAAGGTGCCCGGCGACATCATCGGTACGTTCGTCCATTTTCTTTCTTTCTTAGATTATATATAAGATTAGAAAAAGACAACTAAAAATAGAAGAACTTTTAAAACTGTTATTACTGTCGTTATTGAGTTGGTGCAGCCAGCCGGCTGGGCATCAAGGAGTACGTGCCGGCGTACCTCGGCACGGAGCTCAGCGACTTCGACCTCCTCACCGGCGTCAGCTTCGCGTCCGGCGGCTGCGGCTTCGACCCCCTCACCGCCGAGCTCATGGTAACTAACCAATCGCCCGTTATTCCAACGTCTCCGAACGAACCTGCAGCAGCTCTGCATTCTGCAATAATGTCATCATTTCTGATTTCCTGGTCGCACACACTGGCTGCCTGCCGTGTCATCAGTCCGTGCTCACCATGGACAACCAGCTGGACCTGTTCAAGGAGTACAAGGAGAAGCTGAAGCGCGTCGCCGGCGCCCACCGGGCCGCCGACATCGTGTCCACGAGCCTGTACATGGTGATCACCGGCACCGACGACCTCGCCAACACCTACTTCACCACGCCGTTCCGGCGAGACTACGACCTCGAGTCCTACATCGAGTTCGTCGTGCAGTGCGCCTCCGACTTCATCAAGGTGCGTGCGCAGGCTGATCACCGAACACGACACGACGCACTCACCAATGGCACATGTCATCATATCGGCCGCTCACGTCGATCGATCATCTCGGTCTATCTGGTTGGCAGAAGCTGTACGGTCTGGGCGCGCGGCGCATCAACATCGCCGGCGCGCCGCCCATCGGGTGCGTGCCGTCGCAGCGGACCAACGCCGGCGGGCTGGAGCGGGAGTGCGTGTCTCTGTACAACCAGGCGTCCGTCGTGTACAACGCGGCGCTGGAGAAGGAGATCAAGCGGCTCAACGGCAGCGAGGCGCTCCCGGGCTCCGTGCTCAAGTACATCGACCAATACACGCCGCTGCTCGACATGATCCAGCGCCCTGACGCCTACGGTGACCTCTTCACGCGCAAACACATACACACAAATCCAGCCCCAAATCGCGTGTTTTCGCCCGAAAACCACGCCACTTTTAACCTATCTGTCTGTCTCCGTGTTGTAGGATTCGACGTGACCAACCGGGGGTGCTGCGGCACGGGGGTGTTCGAGGTGACGCTGACGTGCAACCGGTACACGGCGGAACCCTGCGGAGACCCCAGCAAGTTCCTCTTCTGGGACACCTACCACCTCACGGAGAGGCTACAACCTCCTCCTGGCGCAGATCATTAGAGCAAGTATTATGGTTCAGCCGGCTGCCGGCTGGATAAACGCTAGCGTGGACAACATTTAATGCAGCAGCAGCATTGACACAACACATGCAGCCAACCAACGGTGAGTGCAGCAGTAGCGCAGCCAATGAAGCTGCATGCGCGCGCATCCGCCGGCTTTCAGTCGACGTTTAGCTAGCCGCCCGCTCCACTCTCTCTCTCTCCTTTTCTCTCTCCGCCAGCAGTGATTTTTCTGACGTGGCTGTGCTCCCCGCCGGCCTTGCTGGCTCCATAATACTTGCTCTTAACCGATACGGGATGTAAGAGTCATGACAGCGCTGCGCTGGACTATGGCAGCGCGGTCCATACTGTACTTCAGAGTCTTCTGCTGAATCTCTTGTGTCCTGACAACATTTGAGTGAAGTACAGCTACAGCAATCAGTGGTCCAATATCATGTCCATGTTTGTATTATGATAATATATATCAGCAGTAAAATTGCTTTTCTGAGTACGAGTACAACTGTTATATATTTTTTCTTGAATACACAAAAGGTTTGCGCGTCATTGTATTAAGATCGAAAAATGTGGTTTTTTTACATCGACGCACCTCTTGGACGCGCTAGGCAGGGCAAAGGTTTTACAATAAGCACATTCCTGCCTAGCACCGCATACATGGTGGCTACTCACGTAAAAGACAACCTAACTTAGTTGTGCCAACATCGATCCACTGGTCGGCAACGAGCTTGATGTGCCTGAGCTACGGTACCGTACTGGAGGCGTTGCGGAAGCATCTCCCATTTCTTTCCTTCCATAGCTCCCATGCTACAAGTGCGAAAAGAGAGTCTGCTCCGCGCCTTTTGTCGCCGGTCCATGCTACAACTGTTATAATGATACTAACTCTACTCCTAAACGCGACCCAATTCATCAAAAATATATAAATCAGAACAAGAACCAACGATAGTTGACAAACTATTTGGCAAACACACACTGAATTCATCCCGGCCTCACAAGTCCTCTGCTCTTAAAGGGATCTTATTTCAACTGACAGAAGGTGGGAACACAGAAAAGCAATGCCTGCAGAATCCTGAATGATGAAAAATAAGGGAAGTACACCACTTTTGCATGAAAAAAGGATATAGGTATAAATAAATGCATAAAAAAAGTCCATTTTATTATGTGCTATATACAAACTCATGGAATAAAGCAAACTCCATACTTATGACAGGTATAAGACAGTCTAGCACTAGTCTAAAACCTAACCTGACCATAATAATCTAAGATGCCAGCTTAGGAGCTGGCAGACAAAACTCATACTAAGGGGCTTGACATAGATAAACTATACACTATAGATGAAAGCACTGCACTTTTTGGATCTTCAGAGAAGCTTATTCTGTGCCACCGCTTCACAAAGCTCCTCCTCGTATCGTAAAACTCTGGGCGAGGGTGCAGCTTTACACACAGGTCTTGGCAGCCCTGGTGGCACTGAGCGTCGGAGACGCTTTGAAGGAAAAGGAGTAGGAGACTCCTGGAAGAGAACAGCTGTGATTGGCTTCACATCAACAAGCTTGAGGCGTGAAAGCCGAGCAGCATGTTTTGGAGCCCTTGGTGTCCTTGGGGTGGAAACACACACGTCCTTGCCATCGATTCTAATGAGCATGCAATGTTATCGGAAGAGATTATGGTGGTACTAAATCAGCACTATCTGTCAAGCAAATAAAATGTGGCTAACCTTAAGAAGGGCCAATGCTCCGTTGGAAGAGGCGTTTTGTTTAGGAGCAACTCCTGTCTGCTTCGATCTGGAGTGGTGTAGTTGAAATGGTACTGCCTGGCAAGTTCAACCTAGTTTGCATTACCGTTAAAAGTGAGCTTGGAAATATAAATAAAAGGGAGTAAAGCACATGTTGACTGCTGAGAATGCAAAATAAACATGTAAAATGTCAAGGATGCAATTAACTGAATAAATAGATAGTTGGGCATGCAAAAACAGTGACAGAGTTGACAAGAATGTAATGACTTGCTAGTACATAATCCCAAAATGAGAAACTACTGATGGAAGATGCAAGTAAGACATGTAGCACTATGTCATTTCTTCACAGAAGGGAAAGCAACGTTTTTTGCATGTTGCAATATCAGATAACATCATTGATCATTATTAATGAGAGAATGAAATGAGCGCACATCAGCAATGTGCCAAAAGTAAGACAGCACTATCTGTTTCCACACCTAGTTGACATCAGTTACTGTGCTTCGAAAATATGTCATTATTTCAATGCAGACTGAAATTTGTAGGAGAACAAGGAAATGAGGAAAAAATGAGACCTTTATCAACTTTACAAATAAACAACCTGTTCGCTTGTTGGTTTCAGCCAAGGCTTATCAGCCATGGTACGGTATTTTCCTCTCACAACAAACCAACACCAGCTGGGCTTATCAGCCCAGAAACCAACCAGCGAACAAGCTGAAAGCATGCGACAGCTAAGAGATGATACTTACTGCTTTTCGAATCCTTTTGGAAACATGGAAAACAGCCTTCAGTTGGTCATGGTGCAAGCAACACATGATCTTGATCTTTGCAACAAAACAAAGGCAATAAGGTTTACCACAAATATAATCACTAAAGTTAACAAAAAGGTGGTTGTTTCAGTTCCATACCAGCAAATCAAGTGGAAGTGATTCAAGCCTTGAATCACCACCAAACACAGATGCATCAGGAGTCTTTGGAGTCTTTGGCAATATCTGCCCCTTATTACTATCAAATGGCTCAAAATTGAGTCTTGCAGGGGACAAAATTGGTGTATTGCTTTCTAAGAGAACCTCAGGCTGTGGAGGCAACTCCAGCTCATCTTTCGCATTCAACAGAATCCTTTTCTTGCCGATGTCCCTGCTTGTACTCCTACTATAACGAATCTGAGCCAGGGCACCAGGTTTCAAGTACTTGTTCTTTGCATGTTTCACCCGTTTCTTCTGCTTCAGTGTCACTGATCCAGATCCCATGGTGATTGCTATTCACGCTAAAATTAGAAGTGGCAGGTGTTGTAGAACTTTGATTCTTTTCCAGTTTCATCTCAGCTTCAACACAGAGGTAGAGAAATTAAGAGATCAGTAAAAATAATCAGTGTCACAAAGCTTTTTAAGAAATCAGTCACTTTAGATAAATTCAAGTTCCACCTGACAGTTAACTAACTGAAAAGCACCCAGACAGAACCAATGCTCTGCATTAAACTATAATGAAAAGAAAAACGACAAGACACAACAGAACTTGCATATTCACATGTGTATCCATCATTTAGCTAAACTATAAGATGCCCCTTTTCTGAAAAAGAAAATACTGCAAACATTCGACATAGCTAAACATAATTTTGAATGTCAACTTGACATAGACGAACTAATTGCTTGATTTCGATATATTTGTTGAACTAGGATTACCAATATCAACTTGACATAGCTAAACAGAACGTGCCAGCACAATAAATAAAAAAAGGTCATACTGGAAAAGACGTGGGCATATCAGACACAACATCACACAGCAAAATCTCTAGAAATGAAGAGTCTTGCAAATTACTTGAAGGACATTGACGTGTCTGTTTATTCATGTTCTTTAAGTGAAGTTTATCAGGACAGTTTTTTTTTTTGGGGAAATCTGGACATCAATAAAGACCGCCTCAAGCACAACATTTGGATATCAAAGATCCAAACTTTCCATTTTACTCTGCGTCAAGCACATGCACACACGAGGCAGATATACACAAGCAAAGAGCCTAAGACGGAATGTGTAAAACGTGGTCTGGCTGACTGAATAGTAGTAAAAGGTTTTAAAATTTTGATTCGCCTTGTAGCGTCAATTAAATGATTAATCCTTGACTAGTAGTACTAAGCAGTACTTACTGTATTTTTTCCAATTAGAACGACCATTTAAATGCTAAACCTCTGAGTAGTAGTACTAATATTACTCCATTTTTGTCAGCTATTGGTAGGATAGGTTAATATTTAATCCTTGGCTAATAGGACTAGTATTAAGGGCCAGTTTGGATACAAAGGGCTAATTGTTAACTGCTAAAAATGAGCAATAGCTGATGAAAACAGGCGAACTAACAGGTGCGCTAAAAATTATCCAAGCCACTGGCTAGTTGTTAGGCAATTAACTAGGCACAGCCAGCTAAGAGCTAACAAGAGTCAATACTCAGTAGACCATTGATAGCGATGTATGCACCTGATAGCCAGGGATCCAAATACGCTCTGGCTATTTTTTACTTCTTTAGCTGCCATAGCCGATCCAAACGTATGCACCTAATAGTACGATTTTTTTTTTGTAGCAGCGATTAAATGTTCCATCTATGGTTACTTGCATCCTAATTTTGAAGTGAGCACCCGAAAAGGCTTCCAGTTGCTATGACTTAGTACCATGTACAGCAAGTACAACATTCAGCGGCGAAAAATTTGTGGGAGACGGAGACGATTTTGCCGCCCAAAAAATAGATCCCAAATCTACCAGAGATCTGGAGGGCCCAGCAACTACATGAAATCCGCGCCCCCAGAATCTCCATAGCACCACAGAAGCAGCGTTAACGGCACAGCCGCATCACACCAGCAGCAGATCTCGAAGGTCAGGACTCTAAAAAGACTCGAGAAGCAGCAAGACGCGGCCGCATCCAATCCGGTCGCAAACGAATCGCGCTTGAAGAGAGCTAGCACGGGACGCGAGGCGGCACAGCGATATATAGAGCGAAAGACGCCGGATTTGGAGGAAGCAGGAGGAGTATGAGCGGAAGCATGAACGGAGGAGGGATTGAATGGTTTACCTGAAACAGGCAGGCGCAGCTCACGACCCGGCGGCTCCCATCCTGCCGTGCCGCCTGCGAAGTGCGAAGGGAAAGGGAAACCGAGCGCGAGCTTGCTGTTCCCTGACACCGCCTGCGAGCGCGAGCTGGCTGCTCCCTGACACCGCCGGCGGGGGGATGAATCAACGGGCGCCGCAACCGCAGGCAGACCTATCGCAATAAATTTTCTCCCCTACTATTCCCCTGTTTTGCTTAATCGAGAGAGAGAGAAGGGAAGGGGAACGGCGCTTTTGTACCAAGGCGGGGCGAAGTGGAGGGAAAACCGAAAATTTTGGGCTGGGGTTGGCGCCAAAACCAGGTCGAGCAGGAGCAGAGGACGCGGAGCGGGACCCGCCGCCAGGGTAGGCGAGCTGCGGAGGATCGGATCTGAGACTTAGAACCTGTTTGGTACGGCTCCGCTTCGGCTTCTACACTGTTCACACACTGTAGCGTGTCAGAACCGGAGCCGGAGGAGCCAGAAATTCGAGCTTCACTGGCTCCGTGAACAGTAACAGCGCTACAGTGAGAGGAAAAAGGTGGGGAGAGAAAAACAGCTCCGTGCTACAGTTTGCTACAGTATTCATCGTAGGGTGTCAGCCGGAGCCGGAGCTGCCGGGAGCCCGGCCAAACAAGTCCTTATGTTCCACGGCCCGAACCCAAACACAAACCCATTTTAAGAATTAGGTCACGCTATTAGGTCATCCATCTAAAAAAAAATTTCTTCAACAGCGAACCCAAAATATCTACTGTCTTCCCCTCTCTCTCCGTCTCGACTCTTCCAGTGTTCCATTTCCCCTCCCTCTCTCTCGCTCTCGCTCGTTGTCCCGACGGCCGCGGCTCCTCGCCCGCCTGCGCGGCACCGCAGCGCCCCCCCCCCCTCCCTGGCCAACGAGCTCTAGACCCGCGGCTCGTAGTGCTACACTTGTTCTCCTCTCCAAATCTGACTTTTTCCTTTTGCTGTGATTTTCGGAGCTATTTTAGGGGATTTTTCGTTTCGTCGATTTGAGACCAAATCTGTTCGTTCTTTTTGCGTTGATTTGTGCTATGACATGATTTGAAGTTATCCTAAGAGTTAATTTGATTGAATCGACTCGAGCACGGAGAAATCAACGATTTTCATTTTGGGGGAATTTTACGTGTTCTTGGCTCGATATGAAATTTCCCGGAGATTGGGTAGAAATTGGGCGATGATCTCTTGGACTATCATCGCTAACCGACTTGTGATGGTCTGTGCAAAGTTAGGGATTGAATCCTTTTGATTTGGTTTGGTTTTCGTCGATTCCTATGGTCGGTTGTTTTTCTATTCGTGCAGTTGGTTCTCCGTTCGTCGTTCTGCTGTTCTTCGATGCGCGCCTCGCCGTCGTCGTTCGCTCCACCCTAACGCCTCGCCCACTGCAATGTTTTGCGTCGTGGAGAAAGACGACGTTTTTTTTTTTTTTTGCCTTCCGACTCGCCTGATACGTAAAATGGGTGTTTTAGTTGTGTTTTTTATTGGAGCGTATTTTGGGAAGTAAAACACGGTGCACGATCTATTTTGTGTTTGGGCGGACAGTATGAGCTGGAGCCCGTACCGTCGTCATCTAGGGGCGCGGGTCAGCCGTGCGCGCGGCAGGACGCGGGGGAGGAATCCCGATGCCGAGACGACACCTTCCGAAACCGAGCGGTGCCTCTGCATTGCGCGGTGCGACGGCTTGTGTTGTTGCCTTGTTGGGTCTGAGCGCTGCGTGGCATGAGTGTGGTGCGTGGGTACACACCATTTTTAACTAACTTCCATTAAATACGTATTGATGCGAGTACTTTTCGAATTGATGGACACTGGTACTAACCTTGGGCTATTCTGGTGTAGCTCCGGCTCTCTCCACAATTTGTTACGGGCGCCTTTGGTAAGGTTTGGCTCGGCTCTCATGGCACCGTCCGCGAAAAAACAGTTTTGGCTTCATTGATTTAGCCTGGGAAATAGACGGAGCCATAAAAAGACGTGTTTATAGCCTCCTCTACAGTGCCTCTACACTATCCAAGCTGAAGTTGAGATAAGCTCAAAGGGTTGGGCATCGATGCCTGTTCAAAGCTCGGTGCTAGCCTTTTGGACGTGAGCATCGGTAGCTGCAATGGCAAATTCGACGATCCATGAAGAGAAACGATCAAAGCATCGTTTTTCTACCACTACGGGTGCTCTGAAGGAAGGAGACCTTTATTCTCTTGATTGATGCCAGCTCAGTTTATAAGTACAAACGGCGCCGGGGGGGGCAGCCTGTGCGATGCCCATGGGCCCACGAGGCTGGGGGCCCACGAGGGTATTCATGTGTATACTGTATAGTAGATGCTATCAGCCCATACGTCGGCAAGACAACAGTGCGTTATAGTAACACGATCTGCTATCTATCTTAGTGTGTATACTGTCTTAGTGTCTTACTGGCCCAGGGGCCCATGATCTGCTAACAGTGCGTTATACCCATGTGTATACTGTCTTAGTGTCTTACTGGCCCAAGAGCTCATTAAATTTGTGGGACAGCCCTGAGTACAAAAATACCACTTTTGGTGTTAAAATGGACAGATATCAAATGTTACTGCTCAAAATTAATTTATGCATTTTGATATTTGTAGCTTACTTCATTGACTGTGTTGGATGCGCTGCTATCCAGAGTTTATGACGTATAAAGCTGCATGACCAAAGTTTGAAAGGTATTTACATTTTTTTGTTACTAGTTGAGATGCACGTTCGGTGTCTAAAAGAATCTTTCATAATAGAAGAATAATAGAGACCGGGGAAGTCGCACGCGTTCGGGTCAGTGAGAATAGCCCAGGAGATCTAGATGATTTCATCTTCCACAAACGCTTATCCCGCCGAACCCTAAGCGCTGACCTGACCGCCGCCGCCGCCATCGGCGGCGTAGCGCCCCCCCACCCAAACCTCCTCCTACCCCGCCTCCCTCCCTCCCATTCCCTACCTGCCTGCCTGTTGGCATCGCGATGACGCCGTTCTCCACCACGTCGCCGCCCTTGCCGCCATAGGGCTTCGCTGTTGCCGCCCCAGCATCCAAACCGTCGGATCGACGGCCCCTTGATGGTGTGCTCGGATCTCGGCCATCTTCAATTTGGTGGCCGCGCGGCGCTACCCCCGCCATCACCGACGCTCGCGGCTTCCACCGACGCCGGGCCGGCTCGCGCTGTCAGCTC